ATACGTTGTGCCTGAAACAAACCAAATTTAGTTTTGTATCAAAGATTCTCCGTGCTGAGTGAATATTTACACTGTGCACCCAACGTGGTCACAATAACAGAATTTTAAAGGAAGAATGTGCGTCATGTTCCACAAATATATCATAAATCCATTCTATGCTGTGTAAATGTGTCTCTGAGTCATGACTGTCACTAGAGTGAGAAGCTCGAGTCCCGCGCTGTGTTGTTGTCAGAGCTGTGTTTACATGGACGGGACGGCCGGCTCCTCCCCTTGTGTATAAAAGCTGTTTAGTCAAGAGACTAGAGAGAAGAACTACTCACTTATTATTGAATGTTAGAGAGTTTTTAATCACCGCCATTCTGTGTCAATTTACAATGTGAAGCTACGAGCTAACTAGAGAGCGCTAACATTAGCATGCTAGCACAACAATGCAGGACACGTGATTGCAGCTCGAGCAAAGGACAATTTTGTCCGCCGCTTGAGCTTAATGGTGTTTAGTTATGGTGCGTTCCATTTGATAACTCCTTCATTCAAACTTGAGTGGAGGGGGCGTTGGAGTGTGTCTCAGTATGGGAAGGAGTGTGGCCAAACAGAAGTTTGTTTTGGTTTCATGCTGGTGCGCAAGGGCGAAATCTACTGGATCAAAAAAGTCGCACATTCTTCCTTTAAGCTACAATAGGCTAATAATATAAATCAATATCTTTTTTGATACCAGGGACAAAAACGATGGAAGTCTGCCACCCAATGGTGGTAAGCTCTTCTTTTCAATTGTATAAAACAGAAAGCAAACTCCTGCCCACTGTCTAAACTGCACAAAAACATCAGCTATCTAATGTATTAGTGCAATCTATGCAGTGTTAAGTGATTGCTCGCACGTTTTGGTGGATTTATGCCCTAATTGCCGCCTCTCACTAGCCATGTAATGGCTTAGTAAATGTATTTTTAGAATAAATTGTGTTAAGAGTGCACAAATGGTTTCATGGTCTAGTTAGTGTACGTTGGGCCAGCCTGTTATTGTGTGTGTGTGTGTGTGTGTGGCTTTAAGAGCAGCTCAGTAAAAGCAGGACACTGCAGCTCAGCACAGAGCAGCACACACACAAAGAGCGAGAGAGATAATGAACGCCGTCAAAGCTACGGCTCCCCTGTGGTGCTGGCAGCAAAGCATGCTGGGAGGATACACACACCCCTGCACTGAGGATGCGGAAACCCCGCTCATTGTTATTGTCGTTGTCGTATGAAAACATCAGGAGTTGTTTTTTTTTGTGACATCCAGTTAATGTTTTTAAATCAGGTTTAAATTCAGATGATGGCTGTACTTCCCCCTGATAATAGTTTTAACTTAATTTGACATCATATGACATGTATTAGGTTAAACTCAAACAAACAGAAACAAAGAGAGCTCTTTTGTTCCTGATCCTGAGTCCCACTGCAATGCTGCTTCTGTAGAATCATATCTTTATTTGATTAAAGGTCACATACACTTCAACATGTTTTTCTAACACTAACATGTGTCTCTAGTCTGTCTACAAACCCCCCAATGATGAGAAAAGTCCATCCTCTCCGTCTTCTGCCTGCTCCACTTTTCAGAAAATGTGTGCTCAAACAGGCCGTTTGGAGATGTTCCCTTCATGACATCACAAAGGGCAGTAACCCCTCCCCCAGGTGGGTGACACTCCCACAGCTAGGTGTTTGTTCTGCCCTCTGAGTCTGCCTTCTCACTGTAAACAATAGGACAATGGAGCGAGAAAGCCAGAGACACCCAAGCCCTTCCGGAGAGGAGAGAGCATTTAAGCTACAGACACAAACATATATGCATTTATAACTACTAAACTAAGATGTTTGTGAAGTTCAGTGGTGCAGTGCTCAGCGCTGTTGCCTCACAGCGAGGAGGTTCCTGGTTTGAATCCCCGTCTGACAGCAGCCTTCCTGTGTGGAGTCTGCATGTCTCCATGCATGCATGGGTTCTAGGTTAACTGGTGACTCTAAATTGGCCGTAGGTGCGAATGTGAGGCTGGTTGTCAGTCTCTGTATGTCAGCCCTGTGAGAGGTAAACCCACCTCTCGACCAATGACAGCTGGGATCGTCTCCAGCCTCTCGCATTATATAGATGGTGGTTGAATGATTATATAAAGGTGTTGTACATGCTGATATTAAAAATTGCCAATGCACAATATGGAAAGGAGGGAAAGGAAATTTGTCCCAAAATTACCACTCATCTAGAAGTCGTACTGTTTTTTGGATTTGATGAGTCAGGAATGCAGGCAGCCCACAACGTAAAGCTTTTTAAAAATCCCTGAGGAGCCGATTTCAGTCAGTCCTCAAGTCTAACAATGTGATGTAATCTAATGACGTGTCGTCACAAGGAGTGTTGTCGTTGTGTTTGACAGTGTGTGTCTTCTGCATCTTTGAGCTTGAGTGTTTGAGCTCAGTCTGCAGATCTTGAATAATTAAAGATGCACTAACGGTACAGTTGTCAGAGTGAATACAGTGCATGCATATGTAACAATAACATAATCATACACATGTATTAAACCTGCAGTCCTGCTACAAACCCTGTTTTTATGAAGCCTTCGATATGATCTTGAGATGCTAACACTTTTTAGGTTTTAAATATGACTCTAGTTTTCTATGATTCAGTCCGTTTTAAATCTGTGGTTAGTTGTGATGTTGTTCTGGATCTGCAGATTATTCACCCGATTTAAAAAAATAATGAAATAAAATATCATCCCAGTTTCTCAAAAATCTCTTGGTGGGAGTCCTTATCTTAAATTTTGAGAAATCTGATTTTTTTCCACCTGAAGACTGAATGAAAACATGATACTGTTTCTGACAGGCCAAGTGACGTATCAGCAAAAACAAACATGACTGCAGCGACGACAGCGTCTTATGCTACCTTCACGTGCTCCTCAGAAATATCTAATTCACCGTTTTTTCGAGGTTAATTGGAATGTTATAGGAATATAGGCCCTTATCGGAATATGACCTTAACCAAGATACTCGAGTCCTACATATTAACGCACTCGATTTCTTGTTCTGTCAGATTGTCAAACGCAGTTAACCTGTTTTTTTTGTTTTTAAATCATTGTATCCTTGTATTTAAGAGGCTGTTAAAAACATTATCTGTCTAGTGTTTGGATTAAAGATTACTTTAATTACTGACTGCTAGATAAATGAACTTAATGCTGCAGCTCCAGATCTGTTCTCCTGCATTACATTCAGTCAAATATGCCTCTCTGCGAGCCGAGATTTTAAAGCGCTGTCAGTTAGGAACCTAAAAATATCACAAAGTCTTTCTGCCGTCCTCGTGGCCACTTTGATAAGAAAAACAGCTTTGTTATATATCCTGCAAACTGCAGAAGAAGCTGACGCCTTACTCAGAATACGATTTTAATGACATAAAAGCGTGCTTTTAAAAGTCTCAAAGATATTTAGCAGTTCGCTGCTGTGCTCTGTGAAGCTTCTATAGCATAACGTGTGCTCTCATTAAACCAGTCAGAGCACAGAGGCCTGATCGTCCCCCAGGCATCGGCCCACGTGGCTTCTCCTCCGCTCACAAGGCTTTTTTCTTTTTTCTTTTTTTTTTTTTTTAAATACCCCCTTTTTTTCTCCCCACACGGGGGGGGGGGGGGGGGGGGGAGTAGTGGCAGTCTGAGCGTGCCAGAGTTACATAACCGGCTGGTATAGAGGCTATCACATGCAGCACTCGTCACAGGATGTGCATTCAGACTGTAAAACGGGCCTCCACAGAAATGCAACCTCTTCATTTACCCCCGCCTGCAGCCTCCTCAGTTACCCCTGCCTGTAGCCTCCTCAGTTACCCCTGCCTGTAGCCTCCTCAGTTACCCCTGCCTGTAGCCTCCTCAGTTACCCCTGCCTGTAGCCTCCTCAGTTACCCCTGCCTGTAGCCTCCTCAGTTACCTCTGCCTGTAGCCTCCTCAGTTACCTCTGCCTGCAGCCTCCTCAATTACCCCTGCCTGCAGCCTCCTCAGTTACCCCTGTCTACAGCCTCCTCAGTTACCCCTGCTGCAGCCTCCTCAGTTACCCTGCTGCAGCCTCCTCAGTTACCCCTGTCTACAGCCTCCTCAGTTACCTGCAGCCTCCTCAGTTACCTGCAGCCTCCTCAGTTACCCCTGTCTGCAGCCTCCTCAGTTACCCCTGTCTGCAGCCTCCTCAGTTACCCCTGTCTGCAGCCTCCTCAGTTACCCCTGTCTGCAGCCTCCTCAGTTACCCCTGCTGCAGCCTCCTCAGTTACCCCTGTCTACAGCCTCCTCAGTTACCTGCAGCCTCCTCAGTTACCCCTGTCTACAGCCTCCTCAGTTACCTGCAGCCTCCTCAGTTACCCCTGTCTGCAGCCTCCTCAGTTACCTGCAGCCTCCTCAGTTACCCCTGTCTGCAGCCTCCTCAGTTACCCCTGTCTGCAGCCTCCTCAGTTACCTGCAGCCTTCTCAGTTACCTGCAGCCTCCTCAGTTACCCCTGTCTGCAGCCTCCTCAGTTACCTGCAGCCTTCTCAGTTACCTGCAGCCTCCTCAGTTACCCCTGTCTGCAGCCTCCTCAGTTACCTGCAGCCTTCTCAGTTACCTGCAGCCTCCTCAGTTACCCCTGTCTGCAGCCTCCTCAGTTACCTGCAGCCCCCTCAGTCACCCCTGCTGCAGCCCCCTCAGTCACCCCTGCTGCAGCCCCTCAGTCACCCCTGCTGCAGCCCCCTCAGTCACCCCTGCTGCAGCCTCCTCAGTCACCCCTGCTGCAGCCCCCTCAGTCACCCCTGCTGCAGCCCCCTCAGTCACCCCTGCTGCAGCCCCCTCAGTCACCCCTGCTGCAGCCCCCTCAGTCACCCCTGCTGCAGCCCCCTCAGTCACCCCTGCTGCAGCCTCCTCAGTCACCCCTGCTGCAGCCTCTGAGCGAGGTTTATGGTGCATGTTTATAAACATGGAGCTGCAGGGGGGAGTTATGAATATTTGCTTTATCTATGCAACCGGTTGCAAACAACAGAGCTGATATTCAAGCCTCAGTGTAATTGCAAATACTTAAAGGGTGGGGCTTTAATTTACTGCAGCTGCAGATTCAATAAGACCAGGTGTGACACTGACACTGAAGTTATTTGTGATTCCCTGTTTATAACTTGATTTGAATGACTTTTCTTAGAATCATCCCCTTTTTTCTAATCTCTACTTGTCTAATTTTGATATATATTCATTTAAGTCTTGTTCTTTATCCACTAATGATCATCTTACAAACTCAGCCGCCTTTAAACTTCATCTTCAGCGTCCTGCAGCTCAGAAATACTGTTTTTATTCGCTAATTACTACCAGTTGCTGCTTCCTTGTGGATCTTCTTTGAAACTCTGTCAGTTAAAACTCAGCCGTTTATTCACAGATGTTTTCTATTACACGCCTTTCCAGCAGTGTAACCGCTGAGTCCGACGACAGACCCAGATCTGACCCAGGCTGCAAAGTTATAAAACCGAAACCAGTTTCAGAATGTGTTTGTCTGCCTGCTTTTTTTAATCATTTGAAAATAAATTACTCAATATTTCTGCTTCCAGTTTACCATCTTTGTTCAGTAAATGAGTTGAATATAAAGATGATGGTTTGTCCTCAAACGTCCATCTAAGATTGAGTCTATAACCCGTCCCTCTTCCTCCCTGCAGTGAATGATCTGATCCACTGGCGGGACCCCAAGAAGTCGGGCGTGGTGTTCGGCGTGTCCATGCTGCTGCTGCTGTCGCTGGCGGCCTTCAGCGTCATCAGCGTGGTGTCCTACCTGCTGCTCGCTCTGCTCTGCGTCACCATCACCTTCCGCATCTACAAGTCTGTGGTCCAGGCCGTGCAGAAGTCCGGCGAGGGACACCCCTTCAAGTAAGAGCGCACGCCACAACAGTTTTGGAACATGATTATATTCAGAAGAAGTGCGCTGCGCGGTCTCGTCTTTCTAACTGTTGATTAAAAATGTAAAACATTCCTGAGACTCCACACAGCCGCAAAATCCTTTAACCTCCTCTCACCTCTGCACAGCTGTGAAGGCAGCTCAGAGCGCTGCAATTATCAAGATCAGTAATTTATGATTATTAAGTAATGACACACACACACACACACACACACACACACACAGAGGCTGGATCATAACTCCTCTGGTGTGTGAGTGTTTTGTTCTGTCTTGCTGAAGAATTTGCAGAAGCACGTGCAAATCATCTTAATGTGCAGCGCGAAGCGTTTGGTAACATCGCTAACACACCAAGTAATAATGCCTCATCAGCAGGGTGGTGTGACTGACGCTCGTACACACTCTCTTCGTCAATATTCTCCAGAACCTCAGCACATTTTCAAAACACCCAGTCGGTTTTTGAGAAGTTCATAATTAGGGCTAAAAGGTGAATAAATGTTTAGGTTTAACTAAATCAAACAAACTCGTCTGCTTTCTGCACGCACTCTGACACGATATCATCTATAGCCACTGAAGCGTTAAAAAATCCAAAGAGACGAATGACTCCATGAAAAACTCCTGCACACTGGCTGGCCCGAGACGTTATCAAATATTGGGTGTTTTTGTGACTTCTATTTTAGTTGCCGTGGTAACAAACTTCCTTCAATATCGTTAAATTTAAAAATCTAAAATTCAGTAAAATGACATTGGTGAAAAATCATGATTAAATTGTGTTTGAATCTCTAACAACCTTCTCCCCCTCTTTCCTTCCCCTCTCTCCTCAACTCGCCCTCTCCCCTCCTCCTCTCTCTTTCTCCTTTTTCCCTCTCTCTACCTCTCTCTCTCTCTCTATCTCTCTCTCTCTCCCTCTCTCCTCCTTTATCTCTCTCTACCTCTCTCTCTCTCTCTCTCTCTCTCTCTCTCCTCCTTTATCTCTCTCTTCTCCACTCTCCCTCTCTCTACCTCTGTCCTCCTCCTCCTCTCTCTTTCTCCTTTCTCTCTCTCTCCCTCTCTCCTCCTCCTCCTCCTCCTCCTCCTCCTCCTCCTCTCTCTCTCCTCTTCCTCACTCCCTGCAGATGCATGATAGATAAGGATGTCAGCATCCCTCCTGAGACTTTCCGGAAGCACGTGGACTGCAGTCTGACCTACATCAACCGAGCCCTGAAGCAGATGAGCCGCCTCTTCCTGGTCGAGGACCTGATCGACTCCCTGAAGGTGAGCGTCTCCGACCATCGTCATCAGGACGCTCCCACTGTCCCCTGTTTTTAATAAACAGCATGAAAACACAAGAAATGACCTCAAAACAAAAACTCAAAGTTACACACACACACACACACACACACACACACACAGGTGTTTCGGTTTATTCTGAAACTGGACTGAACACAGGTTTTTTCATGGTGTCACCAAACTGGAATTGAGGATTATAAATGTGCAGTGGTCACTCCCTAACAGGTGCAACAGATCGAACAGGAGGAACAGGGACTGACTGTGTCTGATCAGTCTACCTGAGAGAGAGAGAGAGAGCACACCTGTGTGGAGGATCTGCAGGGTGTGACTCTCAGGTGTAGAAAATGAGGTGTGACCTGAGAGATTAAAGACTGAACACACTCCATTAACCATCCCCATACCGCTGTCGTCATCATTCATCATTCATCATTCATCATTCATTACATTCTTTTGATATAAAAGGAGTAATATGTAACTCTGACACCTAGTGTTTAAAATGTGTACTGCAGTCCAAATTCAAAACATTACAGAGCTGTCTCCCCCCCCGCGCCCTCCTCTCTAGAGTCTATGCTCACGTAGGTCACCATGTGGTGGACTCTGAAGCTTCAGTGTTTAGCCAGCTCTGCATCGGTCTGTAAACCTTCTCTGACTGACCTGTGTGTGTGTGTGTGTGTGTGTGTGTGTGTGTCGTTCTCTGACTGACTTGTGTGTCTGGTTGTCGTTCTCTGCAGCTGGCTGTGGCCATGTGGCTGTTCACCTACGTCGGAGCTGTTTTCAACGGGATCACCATCCTCATCCTTGGTGAGCACCGTGGGAAACCACACTCACACTCACACCCTTTATGTTTCTGTTTTCACATGATAACGCCCACATTGACAATAATGACCACGAGTGTTTATTCATAGTCAGACTTTAGACTTCTGTCCTGTATCTGTGAAGTCCAGAGAACAGGAGTCGTTGTCTTACAACTGACTGAAGCCGTTATTTTTGTTATTATGTTTAAACAAATAAAGTGTTGGATCCAAACAACAAACTAAATGCTCGAAGCAGCATGATCTGTTTTCTCTTCAGAATAAAAGTTCCACTAACACACAGACCTTAAAGTTGGTGTGTTAGTATTTGCTAAGTAATTCCCGTGTCCACCTGGAGTTTTTTTTTCAGCACCAGTGTGCTTTTATTGAGTAGAGCGCATTTGCTGCTGCAGGCGACCGTTCAGAGATGAAATTCTCTCAACTTTTCATAAAGGCACTGTTGACGTCAACAGCGCTCTTTTCAAAATAAAATACATTTTGCATATTTTTGTTGTTTCCTCTGGACCCTGTCGTGTATCCTCACCCTCGTCGCTGCGTGTCCAGACAAAGTCACTGTTTGACACTCATATTGCACGGATGTGTAGCGCACAGCCAGCACCATGTAGCGGTCCCGTTCTTTGTTTGAGCACAGTTGTGTTCACATCTCCCGCAGACCGTACTCAAGTACACATGACCCGTGGCTAAGAGGACTCGGGCTCAGTACCTGACTTTAGGGTCAAGCATACTCGGATCAGCCGGGTCCCTGATGTGGAACCATCCTCTAAAACATGCAATGATCAAATACTTGGTGTCTCAGTCTTCTCAGACTCGTATGGAAGTTTGATATTCTGCTGTCATGACCCGTACTCGTAACGTTTCTTCTGTGTGTCCTCCAGCTGACATCCTCCTGTTCGCCACTCCTCCGATCTACGAGAAGAACAAGGTGAGTGTGAACCTCTGTCACAGCTCGCAGTGATTAAAGGGAACATATTATGAAAAATCCACTTCTACAGTGTTTGTGAACATAAAGTATATTTGTGTAACCTGAGTGTCTACTGATCCACAAAATGTGAAATAAACCCATCCAGTCCTTTGTTTGTGGTCTTACAACACATAAAAATGGGGGGGGGGGGTGTCATTTCATTTAAAGAGACACACACACCAAAATGGAGCGTTCTGAGAGAGGTGGTTTATACAGGGTCACAAACCTCCTCTGGTGATTGATTCATGTTATATTTTGACCAAAGCACAGAACAGATGTTTCATTTAGACCACAGGGGACTGTTAGAAAAGGTGGAGAATATGTCCTCTTTAAATCTGTCGAGTCTCAGCGATGACTTCAGCTGAGCTCACTGGATGAGCGCAGCCTTCCTCACACACTCAAGTCTTTCTGCTTCTCTTGTTGTTGCTGCTGAGGACATGAAGTCATCGCGCTCTCAGGGCAGATAGAGGCGACCCGTTAGCATCACGCTCATGCACACGCTGCAACATACTCTTAGGGCTTTATTATCTTCAGCTGTTTCCTGTCAGAGAGTAAAGAGCTCATACAGGTCATGGTCACACTGCTGTTAATGCCAGCTTCTGACCTTTACCTGCTTCTAGAGGTTTAGATGATCCGGTCAGTCCTGTTAATAATTATTAAGTGAGGATGTCACGGCTTCTGTTGGCCAATCATGCTGCTTTTTGACGTATTCTGTTCTGCTGATCTCCATTTTAAAACTTGCATACAGTTAAACTTAAGAAGCTGGATGTCCAGACAAAGCGTGGTCAAAGTTTCAGATCATGAGTTAAACATATGTTGTAGTAATCCCAGGATGAGTCTGCAGAGGGCGCTGAACGACTTGTTCTGTAAATCACACCATCGTTCCCCGATATGAAACCAAGAATTTCACCAGACGGCTTCAAGCCTCTACGTAAACCACTGAAACCTTTTACATAGACTCTCTTCTCCCAGCTCT